TGCTAGTACCTGTTTGACAGAGCTATGATGTCACCGGGATCCTTGAGGGACCCTGTTATCCTTCCCAGACATTACTGCTCAAGGAGGCTGCATTCGAGAGGGAAAAGCCATTTTCAGCCAAACAGAGACCACAATCGCTGTGCCTGAGGAGAATACATGTGTATTTAAATAATAAGCTGTTTGCTTTGCAAAAGATTGGCATAAGCTTTTGCACAGACCCGCTAGCTTAAAGGCTTATCTCTCTTAATGCTGAGAAGTATTTCCAGCAGATTCTCACCGAAGGCCTGCTCAGGAGCACTCCGTCTGTGCAAAAACCCTGGGTGAGATGGCATTTTCTGTTTGGGTGATCAACATGCACATATTTTATATATCCAGCCTTTGTGCCTGAGAAGATAAGAGGAATCTTCTCCCTGCATTCTTCTTTAAATGCCAAAAGTTCTTTTGTTTAAATACAAGGTGTCAAACAAACACTTATCTACCACATTCCTCCCCTTAAGAAGTCGCTGTTTATTCTGGGTATCTCTTCACTTAACATGTTTGATACTTTTCCTACCCCTCCTAAGACAGACCAGCTGCCTTCCAAACATTTTTTCACTTTGATGCACCTGTACCATGTTAGCTTTCAACTCCTTGACACCATATTAAGAGCAATAGTCTCTGAAGAGAAAGAGTTTTCTTGCTTCTACTTCATGTATTCGTGGCAGGTTGTTGCTGTTGGGGTTTTTTAAAAAAATTTTCTTCCGTTCTTTTTTTAGTGTGCCTGTGTGTTAAGAAATGGGAGTATGTGGAAATGGTTACATGGTGTCTATAGGGCCTGATCCCTCCAGAATTTGAGAAAGAAAATTAAGAATTTAAGAATTTTCCACTGAAAGTGTTATGAAGCCTTGGAATTTAAGAATTTTCCACTGAAAGAGTTATGAAGCCTTGGAATGGGCTGCCCAGGGCAGGGGTTGAGGCACCATCCCTAGAGGGGTTCAAAAGCCGGGTTGACATAGTGCTTAGAGACATGGGTTAGTGATGGTTCATATCAGAGTTAGGTTGATGGTTGGACGCGATGATCTTAAAGGTCCCTTCTAACCCAGACAATTCTATGATTTTATGATTCTAAAATGCCTTATCCCCATGTGCTGTACCAGTGATGTACTTTAAGAAGGTAGAATGTACTTTTGAAAAGGTAAAATATATTTTAGAAGGTAGAATCTCTCACTAAGAACAAAGAGCTGTAAAAAGGCCACAAGGCGCTATGAAACCAGACACTTGGTATAAATAAATGCCTTGCTAATGAATATACCCTTGAAGAAGAACAGAAGGCTGATAATAAGGAACGTCCCACCACAGGAGGTGCCGAAACTGGCTGAAAACCCAAGAGCTGCTGGATAAGGAATAAACTCACCAAAATTTTGCAGTAACTGGGGGAAAGGTAAAGGTGTCCGTGGGAGATGGTGACTACCCACTCAACTGGGGACCAGATTAGACTACCATGAGAGATGGTGACCACCCACTCAACTGGGGACCAGATTAGACTACCCCCCGCCCTGGTGCTGGAGCGTGCACATATCAATTAGATGACCTCGTCACCTTCTTTCTAAAATGATGCTTTTCTCCAGTCCACTGTCTGTCCTGCCCAACCTGCTGCAGCCCTTGCCTGCAAAAACACGTGCTGATGGGTCCTGCAGCTCCCTCCCACAGCTACAAACGGTTTGCTGAGGGAAGAGAGAGACATTAAAAATTTTATTTCATTGCATTTTCTGTCCTGAAGAGTTTGGTTACTTGGAGAGTTTTAACTCCATGAAGGAGTTAAAAACCATTACAAAATTATCATGTTTTTTTCTAGAAAAACACGTTACATCAGTAGACTGATTTTTTTAAAGTAGGTATAAATGCCTTGTAACAAATCTTTATGGTATTCTGCCTCCAGTCCTCATCCTCTGAACCCCATTTTGAGTAATTGGCTGTGATTTCCCAGCCAGAACAGCCTTTTCCAGCCAGTGGAGTCTGGCAGTGCTGCAGCCCCAGGCTCCCCTTGGGTCTCCTGGGGATCCCCACCAGCCCCTGCCTGGAGCAGAACTGCACTTCACCCCATCCAAGTTGTTCTTAAGATGCCTCGTCTCACCTGTAGTCCAGAAGGTTAGACCCCAAATGAGTTCAGGTTCAGATCTACAAGCATATTCAACGCCTGAAATCATACCAAGAACATCCCATTGGGTGTCAGGAGTCCAAAAGCATCTGTGGATCTGGGCTGGAAGCTCTTCAAACTTAAACGGAACAGAGCCCAGCAAGTGCTCTGATGTCCAGCATCCCTGCAAAAATAAAACAGCAGTGGGAGAGGTGATACCAAAACGGGATTTTTTCTTCTGAAAATTAAACTGAAGGAAATATCAGACCCTTTTCAGGTGCCAGCCCCTTGTACTCCGTATACAAAGGCTCAACATGAGATCTGAGAAACACAACGTGCTCCTCCTGGAGCCACTGAGATTAGGGTGAGGGAAATGTTGGAAAGACAGTGTGTCATCTTGCATCTCACCACCTTCCGTAGTGGGACCTGGGGGTCCACAGCTCGCAACACCCCACCAAGGGGCAGGCAGCATCAAAAAAAGTAAGTGAGCAGTTTGGTTTTGGGAAAAATGGATTTTTTTTAAATATTATGCACCAACAGTCCAAGAACTTACACTAGGTTCAGTTTTGTTTTCTCTCTGGGAGGATCCAAACCTACACCTTCTGCTTCCCAGCAAAGCCTCCTCCCTGCCAGGTTAAAGTCCGGACAAGAACCTCTTTGCTGTCCCTCTGTACCTGGCAGGAGTAGAGGAGAGTGCTTTTCCAGCAGCTAAAAGCACTTAATTATGCATTAGAGAGCATAGGCTGGAAGAAAGCCCAAATAATTCCGTGCAGATTAGGGACCACAGAGGGTAAAGCAGACTCAGGGGAGGAGGGCAGTGGTTGCCCATGGGCCACAGGGCTCAGCCCTATTGCCCAAGCTTTGAGGATGGTCAGGCTCTTTCCTGGTGGATTTGTTATTCTCCCAAGTTCTTCCTTTATTGCGCATCCATTTCTAACCTTCCCTCTGAACGTCGTTTGTCTCTATCCCCTTAGCCTCTTTATTCGCTTTGAAAAGCAATTTCTAAAGCCTTTACCTGACCGGCTGGCATGCTGGACTAGGAAAAAATGTCTGAAATGCATAAATACCCACTGTTATATTAAGAAAGGTGGCTCATTTTCAAAATATCAAAGTATTTCCTAATGTCATCATAAATTCAGGTAAGGTCATACTAGCTTTTTAAAAAATTCGTTTTAAAAATATCCCCACAAGCGTAGCAGTTTACAATTTGTAAATTTGTTTTCTCTGTTTGTATTAACGGCTCTTTTTGTTTTCTCCAAGCACACCTTAGGTTAAATCTAAGTTGACCACAGAAAAGGTCAAAAAATTTTTCAAACTTTTCTGGAGCACAATTAACTTAATATTTTAACAGCTGGCAGTTGTGGTAATTACTTTTGGATTATACCTAAAGTCTGTTGGAATCTAATTACTCTGATCTATGAACCAGGTAATTAAGGTAAAAACTCCCACATTTTCTTAGGCCTCATTAACGTATTTCCTTTGAAAATTGTTAGCTAATGATGGAACAGTAAGAGTTTATCCATAAAATGACAATGAATAACTGAAACCCTTGTCCTGAGACGTTAAAGGACACAGAATAGTGTTTAACCACTCAATGTCTTGATAATTATTTCTTAATTTGCAGTGCAAATATTATGCAAGTTTGGGGAGAAAGGACCAATCAGATTGGGAAAGGGATTCGAATCAGCAAATTTCCTAAGGAACTTCAACCTCTGGTTGCCTGTGGGCACCTTGTCCCACTTCCCCACACCCTCTGACACCAATTTGCTGTAATTAATTCCCAGGACGTGTTCTCACCCAGCAGCCTGGGACCAGCCCTTGGCTCTGCGTGTGGCCAGGGCTGGGAGGACACATGGTGTGGATGTGCTGTAATCACATCTAATGTGTGAGGCCCTGCAACAAGAAGGGTTAGACATGGGGGGATGGAAAAGCCACCCGTGGCTATACAGACTATGTGATCACACACATCGATAGATGGATCAATGTTTTCTTGAGGCAAGAGTCAAATGAAATAAATCAAATACCAGAAATCTCTGTTGGTCACATAAGGGCTGCTAAAGAACAAGCCCATTTGCTTCAGGACCTCTCAGGACGGGCTCCGAATCGGGGCGTGAGGCACACACTTGTTGCAAAGCAACCTATCAAGGGGATCCGTCTGTACTCGAGGATTTAATCTGAAAATCCTGAAAGCTTCAAATTAGAATCAGAATCATCAAATAATAGAATGGTTTGAGTTGGAAGGATCATCGAGTTCCAACCCCCTGCCCTGGGCAGGGACACCTCCCACCACACCAGGTTGCTCCAAGCCCCCTCCAACCTGGCCTTGAACCCCTCCAGGGATGGGGCAGCCACAGCTTCTCTGGGCAACCTGGGCCAGGCTCTCACCACCCTCACAGCAAACAAGTTATTCCCCACATCTCAGCTCAATCTCCCGTCTTTTAGTGTCAAACCCTTCCCCTTTCTCCTACCACTACATTCCCTCATCAAGTGTCCCCCTGGTTGCAGCTTGTCTATGAAATAACAGCTTTGGTGGGAAACAGTTGAGGCATTGGGTTTGGATCGGGACCGCAAAGGAAAAGTTTTGGATGATCATCTGTTAGACCATCAAGGACCTGTGTAACTACATCCCTGGTGGGATCCTTGTATATGGGACAAAAAAAGCCAGTCTCAAACAGAATTGTCCTGGTTTAAGGTAAAACAGAACCAATTTTCTTTTTGGTAATTTTACTTATCAGTTAAGCCTCTTCCAACTAACTGCGCTACCTGAGATTTTATGGCATGTTTTTCAGACAGTGTCTGCCTTTATTTAATTTTGTCTGCAATAATGATACATTATTTATAAAGTCTGAAAAAGTAATAAATTAAGTTTTTTCTGTGAGAGTTTTTATTTATAAGGAAATGAGTTGAACAAATGAGCTAATTAGGAAGATTAAGGATAAAAAAAATTGATTCAATATGAGAGGGATGCACACATGGCTACCCAGGAAATCCTGCCACAAGAAATTACCAAGACCAGATTACCAGACACATATCTGCTGAAAGATTAAATCAATCAATGCTGGAACTGCTTTTTCCCTGAGAAACCGAACGCTGTCAAATCCGCTCCTTCCCAATCGTTATACATTCCCACCAGGTCAAACTTCTGGCTGGAAACCAAGTCCTCCATCAATTTTCGGCCCATTTTTCTTCCTGCCTCGGTAGACATAGCCTTTCTCCAGAGCTTCAGCAGCAGTCCTCCTTGGGGAGAAACACAAGGTGACAGTGTCAGGTTAGCAGTGTCAGGATGGAGTGCTCCTTTGGCAACAACCCCCCTGCTCTCCTGTGGCCAGGGCAACGTAGGCACAGCCGGAGCGTGCCAATGGGGTAATGATTGCCTACAACTGTGCAGGGAGACACGGGCCATTTATTCAGCCCAGGAGCCTTTCGCTATCGATAAGACAGCCAGGCTTGTCTCCTTGTCACCAAGGTTGTAAGTCAGAATGGTTGAAGGTGGGCATTAAGGTCTTGTTCTCCAGTAGCACACAGCTTCACGGCTCGGCCTGGTAGTTACAATCACGCACATCTTTGCTTTTACTGACTCTAAAGCAACCAAGAATTTGCACTTCTGCCAGTTAAGGCCTCAAGCTAAAGCAGAAATCTATGCTGATGCTTAGAATTATAGGATCATAGAATTGCCTGGGCTGGAAGGGACCTTTAAGATCATTGATATCAACCATCAACTTAACTCTGATAATAAACCATCACTAGACCATGTCTCTTACCAACCATCAACTTAACTCTGATAATAAACCATCTCTAGACCATGTCTCTAAGCACCATGTCAACCTGTCTTTTCAATACCTCCAGGGATGGTACCTCAACCACTGCCCTGGGCAGCCCATTCCAAGGCTTCATAACCCTTTCAGTGCCAAAATTGTTCCTAATATCCATCCTAAACCTCCCCTGGAGCAACTTGAGGCCATTTCTTCTTGTCCCATCGCCTGTTCCTTGGGAGCAGAGACCAACCCCCCCTGGCTACACCCTCCTTTCAGGGAGTTGGAGAGAGCCAGAAGGTCTCCCCTCAGCCTCCTTTTCTCCAGGCTGAACACCCCCAGCTCCCTCAGCCTCTCCTCACCAGACTTGTGCTCCAGACCCCTCACCATCTTTGTTGCCCTTCTCTGGACCCGCTCCAGCCCCTCGATGTCCATTTTGTGGTGAGGGGCCCAAAACTGGACACAGCCCTCCAGTTGGGGCCTCACCAGTGAAGAACTGAGTTTGCACAGTATTGTATGAGGGAGATGAGGAGTTAAGAGGCGAAGGCAGCAAATGCTCCTCTTGCCTAGGAGGACCGCAGGAAAGGTGAGGACCGCAGGAAAGGTCTCGAATAACAAGGTATCTGTTGTTCTGCCTTCAAATATTGCTGAGTGATAGAGCATAAAATGTGAAGCTTCTGACAGCCCACAGCCAAAAAGCTTTAGAGGCAGCAGAGCACTGTCTCAGTACAGGTCCCTGCAGGACTGGCAGAGTACTCAAGCTCTGAATCAAGAAACCAAATCTCACTCTGGGTTGGACAGGGCCCCATCCTGAGAGGTACTGAGACCCTCTATCTGCTGTTGAAGTTTGCAGCACCAGAAGAGGACTCCACACCTCAGGGGATGTCTTTAAAAGTTTGAGAAGTCCGACTCTACAAAACCAGCATGTCACATCTTGCCATCTGAGTTTCGTAGCAATAGGATCCAGTGTTTCAGGTCCCTGCTGAGGTTGTGGCTCCAGACCCAAGTCAAATTTAGTTTAAAGCTCCTTTTCTGATCTGCAAAGCAGTCACTGGGTTGAGTTAGCTGGCCTTTGGTGGTCAGCTGAACGCAAAGCCCATCCCTTCAGAGTCAGGGAAACCTCTCACCTGCAAGGCAAGGGATTTCAGCTATGGACCTCAGGATGGCTGCACCTGCAGGAAACTTCTTCATCCCTTTCTTTCCTTCCCTGTATCATCTTCATCATCCACACCTCTTTTCCGCTCTCCCTCCTCGCTGCCCTGGTGCTCTGCTCCCTCCTTGCTGCTTTTCTGGTGGTGCTTTCTTGCTTTCCTTTCCCCCTCCCCTCCTGGAGAAAGGTCACGAAACCCTGAGCTGTGGCACAGGCTACCAGGCTTGGGATGGAGCTGCTAAAATCCTTATTCTCTGAGGAGTAATGCTGTGTGGGAGGTGTGGGGGAAGCACTCAGTGATGCGAGGATGCTCCTATGTAACACTGAACAGCTTCATCACGTCTTTTTCAGCTACAAATATAACTAGCAAAAGAATTTTCACTGGAATGTACGGCCAGAAGATGACGATCACAAAGCACACGCCGTAGCTCTGGATACTAGTTTTTCAGCGTATTTTTAGACTGCGTTTTCGTTTTAAGATTCAAAATAACTTTCCTTCACAAAGGGCAAACAAAAATATCCAACCCAGCAATCCCTAGGCATGAGCTGAGCTGGGCAGGGTGTAATTCCGCGTCTCGCCGCTGGATGGGGATACACAACCTATTTTAGTGAAACTCCGACATCCTCTAAGGATGCAGGTCTGCTGGGACAGGCATTAGACTGGGATAGCCTGAATATTCTCTCTTAGACCAAAGATCGAGACAAAACCCCAAACCAGAACACTTGTGGGCACACAAACTGTTGTTCCTGATCATTTGCCCATTTTTTGTAACAACCTTCACTGATCGAATAACTTCACAGATTCACAGAATCTTAGTGGTTGGAAGGGACCTCCCATATCAGTGAGTCCAACCACATAAAAAAAAACCAAAACCAAAAAAAACCCACCACAAAAACAACAAACCCCAAAACCACCACCCACCAACTAAACCCCACACCCACAACCCCACACACTACACCCCACCACAAACAAATAACCTTGGGCACTAGAGCATGCCCTGAAGAGCCACGTCTACATGTTTCTTAAATACCTCCAGGGATGGTGACTCCACCACCTCCCTGGGCAGGCTGTCCCAGTGCCTGACCACTCTTTCAGTAAAGTAATTCTTCCTAATATCTAATCTGAATCTCCCCTGCCCCAACTTCAGACCATTTCCTCTGCTCCTGTCATTATTCCCCTGGGAGAAGAGGCCAACCCCCACCTCTCTACACCCTGCTTTCAGGGAGTTGTAGAGGGCAATGAGGTCTCCCCTCAGCCTCCTCTTCTCCAAACTAAACATGCCCATCTACAGCTTCAATGATTTCAGATGTGACTAGTGAAACACAAACTATTCTTTGTCTTTTCAAAGTTCTTATGAAAAATGGAGGGAAAAAAGTAAGGTTTTCTGCTCCAACAAAGGATGCATTTGTCTCCTGTGAAATCCTCACTGTCAGCATTACCCCATCACTGCAGCTGCTCTCTGGGGTCTTGTTTACTTATGGCTGTATTTTCAGCTGTACTGTTTTATCACTAGCCCTTAGGAAGTGTTTATACTATTGTATATTAAAAAGTCACTGTGTTCATATGGAGAAAGGTATAAAAAGAGAGAACAACATATTTAATATCTATGAACTACAGACGTCTGTAGGTCGGGCTCATACCTGTTAATTGATTTGCTCTGTGCGGAGAAAGGTATAAAAAGAGAACAACATATTAAATATCTATGAACTACAGACGTTTGTCAGGCTCATACCTGTTAATTGATTTGCTCTGTGAAGGACTCTCAGTGAAAGCAGGACTCGGTTTTGCTGTGGGCTGAAGTCACTGATGGATGGGAGGACATCCCCTTCAACGAGCATCCTCTGGGGCAGGAAGGTCTGGAACTGGTTTGTGGACTGTAAATCTGTAGAGAAGTGTGTGGCTGCAATGAAATCTACAGCATTAGCCCAGTCTTCACCAAAGTTTGCTTCTGGATCAGGGAGATATTTTAAGCTGAAAGGGATAAGAAGGAAAACATAACAGATAATTGAAATCCACTGTAGAACACATTAGTCTGTCATTTATCCCCAATGTGTTTTGTTCAGTATAAAATCCTGAGCTGTCTCAGTGACTTAAAGCCTACTTCAGCATTTTACACCTAATTTCTCCTGTTGTGGCTGCCTCTCCCCAGACTAGTCACAGCTCCTGACTCCAGTTGCAGCTCCCAGAGAGGAACCAGCATCTCCTGTTAAGCCCAGAGCCAGCCCACCCATCACAGCTGGGACAACCACCTCTTGCTGGTCATGGCATGCTCCAAGAGAGCCGAGGGAAGAGAACCTGAAGAGTAGAGGTCTAAAGTAAGAAAACTCATGCCAACTTCGTTGGGAAACCATCCTTCCAAAGAGCTATGCAGGTGAGAAGATTCCCCGTTGGCCACCTCTATCATCCCAGTACCTGTCCTGGAACTTGGGCAGCGCGTACGCGATGGAGGAAACATGTGCTCTCCACATCAGACCAAGGGCATCGTCCAGTTTGAAGGTTGTGGGACTCCCAGCTTTGTGTTCTGTAGACAACAGATACTGCAGCAACAGGGGAGAAAAAAGGCAGAGAAACAGGGGGGTGGTTTAAACCCAATGAATTTTTCAGGCTTCCACGCACTTCACAAAATACAAAGTTTGCAAACTAAAGGAAATTGCTGTAATTACTTAGGATGTGTTGCTTTGTAAGTAACTATAATGTCTGACATAGGGAGAAAAAGATGATGAATATAGATTTAGAGAGTGAATACATGTCCATGCTGAAGCTGACCGGAGCTCCTGTTCTTTGACTTCAACAGAGTGAGGGTTTTACCCACATAATCTGGGTATTCTGTCACAATAATTCAGTGGACTTTTGAATCTGAGTGCCATGGAAATATGCCGAAATATTGGGTCCCCTGAAAACCTGTTTATACTCTTTTGGCCACAACTTTCTGGAGATTTTCAGAAAATAAGGAAATGATTCTTGATGGTTATCGCTGTGGCTATTTGAGGAGCAGATCTTTTATAATAACTTCGGGAACATACTTAGGAAAAATAATCGTAAGAAAACAGTCTTGCTCCTAAAACCTTTACCTTCATTCTCAGTTGCCAAGAAGGACTTACAGTGTAAATTTTCTGTTCATTATCAGTTATTTGAGTACCAACAAAAATATTGAATATAGAAGTCTCTCTATAAAAGCAGTTAATGGATCTATTAAGTAAGAAATATTGCCATCTTTGGGATTAGGGAACAGCTGGATGAGGAGGAAAGAGAATATCTACTTGCATAAAGAAGTGTCCTTCTGAATGAAGTTTCAGCATTTTCAGTTTTTAGATGTTCAAAGGAATAATGAACCATATAAAGCCAACACAAGGCCATTTCTAGAAGGTAATGTTCCATCTCACATGCTGATTTTGCATTGCTAACACAAGCAGTATAGCAAGAATACAAATATAACTGTTATCAAAACAGTCTCTTGGGACAGACTCCCAATAACACAGAATTATCTTAAGAGGAAGGAAAAAAATCCATAATCTTTACAGATAACTGGCCTTCTTATCTCTTACTCCCTTTATGTTGTGCTTTTTACTTTTTCTGTTTCTCATTACTTTTATACCAAGCTATTACTGAAAGCAAACCAAGCTTTCTGAATCTTACAAACAACAGGAATAATAATTTTTAAAAGTAATATTCTGGTATGATTTCCTACAAAATATGGAAAAAAAGAGAAAAAAAAAGTAAAGTGATTTACTTCAAAATAGGCCTTCCACTCATCCATGAGCTTGGGGATGCGGGACCGGCAGTCGGCAACGCTGTAACAGAAATCAGCGCTTCGCTCCTCAGGGGGCAATATTTCTATCTCGTGCTGCAGCTGCCCGAAGAGACCAGCATCCACCGCCCCCAGGAAGGGGATGACAGCCAGGTAGTAGTTCATACCTATAATTTAAAAGAAGGTTTTAGTCACAAGCCAATGAAAAACTCCCGCGTAAGAAAAACGAACTCTGTCCCCTACCAAAGGCAACCCTTTCAAATTGCCACTGATAGAACTGTGTTCAGCAGTTGGACATGCGTACTGAGATGCACTGGTGATATCTGTATTGTTTAGATGTGATTTCTAATATTCATTTATCTATTTTCCTTTAATAGCCTTGTGTGAGCTGGCACCGTGCCATACTTTGCAGGAAAGCATGAACAACTGAAAAAAGTTAGATCTTCACAGGTTGTCACAGACAGGACATCAAAAGTCTCTCAAATATCAGTTGCAAACTAAGTCCAGAAAGTCTAAGGGTATTTCATGAGTATTGTTTTCATTAAAAAACCTCTTCTGTGTGTCCTAGCCATAGAAGAAAGGAAAAGGCAAATATAATACAAGTGATATTTTACTGGAGACTAATTATTTTGCTTTTTAAAAGCATTTCACTGACTGAAAGCTTCTTGGAAATGACCTCAGTTTGTTTAGATTTATTTTAGGATGATGGCTTCCTCGGATCTGATCCAGAAGTCAGAGCAGTCAGACCCAGCAGGTAGGAAACCCAGGTTCAGTTCTCACCGGTGCTGGACCACATCTCCAGTGAAAGTGTCTGTAGGGCTATTTGATATTCCTCATTTGAAAGGAGGATTTAATATTCTCCTCTTAATTGTGTCCTCTTTCGAGGAACAAAGTTTAATAACTTTGAGTGAAGAAGAGCCTGCAGAGCTGCTTGTTCTCCCACTTGGGGTTGGTACTCCTGAGCCATCACTCTGAGGAGTCACCTGGTTGTGCTTGGTCTCAGGGCCACGAACCACCCAGGTATTTTGTACATGGTCCCAGCAGTGAGGACCAAAATCATCAAAACCTGGCCACCTACCACGTATCCCTGTCGTACTCATGGGAAACCATTGTTCCACCTCCTGTATGTGGACCTGGCTGGGAATGTATGGAAATGTATGAAGAAGAGCAAGGAAAAGTCCCAAGTGAGGAGAAGACAGTGTCGCACTGGGAGCCATTGCTAAGCTGGGCCTTGCTTCTTGTTCAGTGTTTTCATGAGAAATGTTAAATACCTGGGTTTCACATCAGAAGGTACTCACATTCTCTGAAGCGGGGTTGCATGTATGACCTATTTGTACCTGCTTGGGTGACTGAGAGGGCAGAAAGCAAGGCAGGAAAGGACTACGCTGGGGCAAAAAGGGATTAAGTTCTTCAGTAGGGAGTGTCTCACACACCTTGGGGTGTATTAAATGTGAGCTTCTGGTTTAAGCTCATTCCTGGCTTGACATGAGCACTCACGCCTGAGGGCCAGCAGAAACCACCCACATCCTCAGAACAACGAGAGACACTTCTGTGCAGCCTGAAAGACTTTGTGCACGTTCCTGCTGCAACAGGGTAAATCAAGGCTGAGTTTATCCCTTTTCTGGAGGCAACAAAATTGGTATCAAGCAAACATGCAGTGCTTAGAAGTAGGTGAGGAACGCAAACGCTGAGGAAGTGAAGGTGGTGGTTTCCATTCCAGGGAGGTCCCCTGCTTGCACCGAGTTGTGCAATGACTCCTGGGACTTGTCACTGCATGGGACACCTTCCCAGGGAGCACCTACTGCTGGCCACCCACTTCCATTTTTTGGGAAGACTGATTTATCTGGGTGTGTAATGAGGATAAAATATTGAGGAAATACTGAGATATTGAGGAAAACACTGAAAAAATCAGGGACATTGACACCAGAAATTCAGATCTTTACACTTTTCTCTCTCTCTGTCACTGTCTTCAGTTTGTTGCTCCTTACTGGAATAATGAAAGATGTTTAACAGAATTTCAGCCTACTAGAAGTTCAAAGCCAATACTAAAGTGCATAGAAATTGCCTCATATTTCATGTACACCAGGTCAAAGTATTAGCTAAGTTTTAACTGAATGCTTGAAAGTCTACTGGATAAATGTCAGCGTATGAAGCTACTGAAGTTGTTTGGATGTCATGGGCACAAAGTTTACCTTTATTCCTTTCCCTGGAGCCTACTGACCACAGGGAAGTAGCTCAGGTGCAGCTGAAGGAATCAAAGCCCTGGATTACCAGGGGTGATGCAAGGACCACAAAGATTGCAGCTTGACATTCTCATGCTGAGATTTAGTTAGAAGCACTAGCATCCTAATTGAACAAATCTGCTCTGGAGCAACTGGAAACTGTAATTTCTACAAATGCCTACAAATAGAGACACCGTTCTTGCTGGTTCCACCACAATTTTACATTCATTTTTGTACTGTAAATATTCATAAGGCTGCAAATTTGCATTTTTTTCTTTCCTCAAATAAGTTACCAAAGTCAATTAACTTTCATTTACTCCCTCACACTTAGGTGCCTGGCTGCAAGTTTTTGATAGAGAATTATGTAGCACTGAAATTACTTTGTAATATAGAAGCCTAAGGGGAAGAAAGATTCTAAATTGGCTTCTGAACACTTATATTTTGGAGCAGAAGAGCGTCATAGCACATACTTACAGGACCACCAGCTCCTCACAGATATGCACAGGAGGTCTCCGTCTTCGTAGCCACAGGAGGTCACCCTGGAAGGATCTGCTAATCTGCCTGAATCAAATGTAAAAAAACACCAAATACTTCTGAATCTTTTTCACACAGGAGTTCCCAGGGAGATGAAAGAAAAAAACCATAGAGATGTAACTCAGGCAGAATTTTCCTCAGAGAAGCAGAACAATTACTTCATGAGCTGCTGTTCCAAGAGTAGCTGAATTTCCCCGTCAATACTCCACACAGTGCATAGTGATTCAATTGTGGTTTATGGCTTGATTTGTTCCTCGCTGTAAATGTATTCTGGGAATTTACAGAACTGCCTGGAAGTAGGACCTCAGAGTGGCGTTTTTATGGAGAGATGAACGTCCGTGCACATGGGGCCACAACCAGATGCACGGCTGATGCGTCGCCCTGGGTAGGTGCAGGGCTGCGGGTGTGGGGGGAGCCGCTCAACGAGCAGAACAGCACAAATTAAACCTCCTAATTGTCTCACCTAATTGGTTTGGGTGATACAGACTGCCTTCCGGTTTAACGATGCGTACAAACACGGCCTTACCGTGAGGCTACGCTGCTGTAGCTGATCAGCAGGGTTCCCAAGCGTCCATGCTGGGGCAAACACCCAAGAGTTGTTCTCTCTACAACTCCCTGAAAGGAGGGTGTAGAGAGGTGGGGGCCGGTCTCTTTTCTCAAGTCACAGGTGACAGGACAAGAGGAAATGGCCTCAAGTTACCCCAGGGGAGGTTCAGGCTGGATATTAGGAAAATTTTTTTCACTGAAAGGGTCATCAGCCATTGGAATGGGCTGCCCAGGGAGGTGGTTGAGGCCCCATCCCTGGAGGTGTTCAAAAGACGGGTTGATGTAGTGCTGGGAGGTATGGTTTAGTGATGGTGATGCTCCTTGTTTGTTCTGTGGGTGTCTATTTTTGTCAGTCAGGTTGACGGTTGGACAAGATGATCTTTAAGGTCCCTTCCAACCTAGAAGATTCTGTGATTCTGTGACATTCCACAGTTCTTGGTGACAGCGTGTCAGGAATGTTGTACTGTACGCCCGTGACATGGAGAAACAGCCTAAACCCCGTGTGCACGTGTCCATTACGTGGTAAGGAGCCGTGCAGCGAGTCAGGAGGGTGCTTTAAGTGAATGGCATGAAATTACCATGGTCAGGTCCGACGACCTGAGCCATTCCAGAAGCTCCCAAACTCTGCCCCACAAAGCACTCACCCTCTGACGAGTCACCTGAATAGCAACAGTGTCGTTTCTCTCAGATTAGAACTAAACCTCATTACATTCTTTAAAAAACAAACCCAAATTTTCTAATACTTTTTGACGGAGAAGAAGAGAAGATCATGAACCATGTGCATACAGATTACCCTACTCATCCTCTCCAGCTGACCGGTCGGAGCTCATGCTTTGGGTCATGCTGGCTGTTCAACCCTCTGTCTTTAGGTAACAGCACTGAGAGCATGACCTTGCAGTGGTGAGGAATGCAGCTCAACGGGATTTTTTTTTTTTTTTTTGAATGAAAAATGGTCTTTGTGATATTTACAGAAAGAGTTTTTCCCCAAGATTCTGCTTCCAGCCAGCACATCAGAAATAGGCAGCAGCAGCTCGCTGACATGCAAAGGCGATGAATGAGAAGGATAAAGAAAAAGAAGAAAAAGAAGGCAAAGTTGTAGGTGAGATTTACCAAAGATTGTTAGCCTTGGTGCTTTGGGAAAACGAAGTGACCTGGGCAGTAGCGGTGATAATGATATGTATAAATTACTTGGAGCTGGAAGCATTAACCCCACTACACTGCAGATTTGCTTTCTCTGCTCCCTTTTATTCCCTGTGTTTAACAGGGCTGTTATTTCAGCCGTCAGGTCCACCCAAGCTCTGTGTCTGTACTGACACTGCCTCCCAGCTGCATGTCATTAGCAACTCTGTGCAGCCTCATCAGCAAGATCTCTCTGCTATTTTTTGTGGCAAGGTTGTTAATGTAAAAGCTAAATGCAGTTGTTCTCAGGAATAATTGAAGAACTCTGAGCAAATCCTCCATTCAGCTGTGAACTTCCCTTAGCAACGCTCATCACTAATTTCTCCCTCAGGTGCTCTTTCACCAGGTTTGCAACTCCCTGTTTCATTCTTATTTTGTGAAGTGTCATTAAAAGCTTTCATTCTGTGCTTTGATTTTACAAAGGGAGGAAATTATTTCTGAACTTTGGTAAAACATCACTTATGTCATAAAAGAAGATACTGAGTTAGTCTGACACAGTCTACCTTTGATTCACGTAAGCTGCACTTTATCCCTTTTTCTATTTGGCTCCATGTCTTTAAATATTCTTTCCTCTATACTTTTTCTAATGTCTTATCTACTACTATGTAAGAGAAATAAATATTTTTGTCTCCTTATCCCATTTTCCCTTCTTCTTAAGTATAGGTACATCCTTTCCTATTCTTCAGATGTACAATACCACCTGAATCTTTCTTAAGGTTCTTGCTCCTGGATTTGTGGTTATATATGCCAATTCTTCCAAGTGGGTGCAGAGACCATCCAGTTTCCCCAGTTTGTGTAGGCAGGAGTCTCAGTTTAGCTCCATTTCCCAAGTCTCATTCCTATCAGCTCTGCTGCCTCAGCATCATTGTCCCTGCTGTAAATTTAGGCATCTCACAGATTTTGCTTTATGTCCATGAGTAGATTATTGCAAATCTTTGTGCCACTCTCATTAAATATCAGCTTCACTTCCTTTTTATGGTTTATATGGGATCAAATCCAAAAAATATTTTCTCAGCAACATAATTTTCATGACCAGACATAATTGTTAATTCAACAATTTTTGTAGTATTTTTAAGGATCTGCTGTCTTGCGCCACAAACTCAAATCCTGCTTTTGTTTGTCCAAGCTTATTATGTCAATTTACAAACGTTTCAGTCATTCCTCACTGATCTAGCCCAGCTGCCTGTCTGGATTAGGTTAAGCCAGTTGCTGACCTCACTACTGTATGCACCAAAATTATGTCTTTCTTTCCCCCTTACCTATTTGTCTTTCAAATTCTCATGTTTTTGGGTTTTTTTCTGTAAAACTCTTCCCAGACACATGATAATTCTCCTTCTACTATTTTTTTAACCTTCTGATCACATAATTTCAAAAATATACAGTCCTATGATTTTTTGGCAGCTGACAGCAGGTCTTTACCTATCTGTGCAACCAGGTGCAGATCTTCCTCTCACCTACCGTGTCCCTCATCTCTATCTGGGAACTGCCACTGCAACCAGGCACACCTTCACTTTGTGGATGAGGCCACACTATACAACTAGATCCTTTCTAGTAGGTAACCACCCAAGGGGAGCTTCTGCATTCAGTCATCTCTGCCCCTGCCACACCTTGGGTCAGCTCTCCTGCTTCATCAGCCTCCCTCTTCATCTCCTCTTTCCTCTCCTATACATAAAGAAGGGAAAGAGGAAAAAGCTTACCTAAACTCCAGCCAAGTTCTTCTTGCTTCTGTCTGGTTGCCAGTTAGTTGCCTGCTTGGATTTTGTTTACTCTACCTCCTTTTCCTCATTTTGACTTAGCAGTTAATTTTCCATTTGGTGTGACTAAGTGCTGGCAGCCTTCCTTCACCACCAGCTGCAGCACCTCTGTCTTCTGCCAAACACACAGCTTCAGCCACGCCACCACCTCAACGAAACTACAGATTACAGCTGATAAAGAAAAGACCAGGCAGAGAAATGCGTTTGCTTATGCCTGGTTACCAGCCAGCACAAGTTCTTGAGAACATCACTGACTCTTATTCCCTTCTTCCCACCTCTCCTGGTTGCTAGAACGAGGCAGGTCAACTCAGGCTTTGAATGGAGAGCTTCTCTGCCTGCTGTAAGCCAAGCAGCCTGTGGGAGAGCAGGTTCTCCCACAAAAAGCCCTGGATAACATATTGCAGCCTTAACCTCAAGGGACCTTTCACACAGGCTCCTGTATCTGCCTCCCCGGCATGGCCAACAAGCAAACGAGAATGACTGTCCCAGATAACACCCAGCTTTTAGGGGATGAGCCAATAGAAGTTGGTCATAATTTAAAAAACAAAAGAAGACACAAAAAACTCTGAACCAACAAACAGAAAAAACTTGAACTTTTGTGAAAAACTTCTTTAGAAAGTAATGAGGCTACTCCTAAACTGACCCAAGAAGGGCAAATGGAAAGATATTCTCAGAGGGAGAGGTGGACTTTCAACTACCTGTATTAGAAATGAGACTCAGAGCACCAATAGAGGTTCACAACATTAACAACCCCCCCCAAAAAAGCCTATTGGTTAACACTAGTTAACAATTTAAGCCCAGCACTGCAGAGTGCAGGCCCTGAAATCTGCCTGCTGGAAACCAGAGCAACTGTAAAAGTCATTTCAAAGATTTTCAGCTGACTGAAATACTGCCAATCTAAACCACAGGTCTTCTGGTTTCTGACCAGCCCTGTGTGTGGCAATACCTTTTCCTACTGGGAAGTTTAATCGCTGTTGCTCAACAAGGTAAGGGTGTTCCCTTCATCCAGGATTTCTTTTTCAAATTGGCAGTTTATCTCAGTACATCAGAATTTCCCCAGTCTGAGGCAATACTGGGTTTACGAGGCAGAAACCTCGGGAAGAATAACCTCACGTGGGTCTAGTAAACACTGAGGTGTTCCAGCATCTGAAGGCCATAACTCATACCTGTACGAAATTGCCACCCGTGCTGCAATGGCAATCCCCAGAGAATATTGCCAAAATTGTGGGATCCAAAGGCTGTAAAATATTTGGCTGAAGAGCTTAGCAAGTTCTTGTAGACTCCCAGTCGCTCTCGATAGTTCCAAGCATTGATGACAATTTTGTTGTCCTTTACTGGGAAATCCAGCAGGTTTTCAGGGGCGAGGTCCCACAGCGGGGGATAGACATCTTCTCCAGTGACATCGTTTCCACTCTGTGCTGTGGTGGCTGCTGGACTCAGGGTAAGAGCCACCAGAAGAAGAGCACATACGCCACAGTAGGGCTGCATTGTGAAGGTCTGTGACCCAGGTGTTGGTGGCTGCAGGGCTTTTATCATGAAAGGTGAGGGCTGGGTAAAACAGGGTGACTCAGACGCAGAGGTCCTTCCCTCTCTCCAGTGACCCTGACGTGGAGCTGCCAGATTAGCAAACCATGAGTAATGCTCTGTCCTCCCCGTGGGGTCTGGGGAGCAGCAGCAGGATGTTTAAAGGTGATCAGTCTGACCAGAAAATGGCCAAATCTGTGCTGTCTGTGATAGAAACCCACCCTCCCAAAAGGCTGAGGTGCTTCAGTACAGGCTAAGGGGGTTGGGGTGTTCAGCCTGGAGAAGGAAAGGCTCCGGGGAGACCTTAGAGCCCCTTCCAGTCCATAAAGGGGATCCAGGAAAGCGGGAGAGGGACTCTTGATGAGGGAGGGGAGCCCTAGGAGGAGGGGGAAGGGTTTGACACTGAAAGAGGGGAGATTGAGCTGAGATGTGGGGAAGAACTTGTTTGGTGTGAGGGTGGTGAGAGCCTGGCCCAGGTTGCCCAGAGAAGCTGTGGCTGCCCCATCCCTGGAGGGGTTCAAGGGCAGGTTGGAGGGGGCTTGGAGTGACCTGGTCTGGTGGGAGGTGTCCCTGCCCAGGGCAGAGGGTGGAACTGGATGATCTTTAAGGTCCCTTCCAACCCAAACCATTTTGTGATTGCACAGCCCCATTATCAACCTTTTTGTCCCTGTGTTTCTTACGAGCTGTCACCTTCCCTTTCCTTCAGGTAAAGACAGGACAGCAATGCCACAGAACTCACCCCAGAAGAGGCATGGGCAGGGTTAGGTTAGGGCTGAGGTGCTTGGAGAAGGGCTCCAGACGCCCACCAAGGAGCAGCAGTGACATATCTGCCATTGGCACCTTTGTCTTTTGGCCTTGGGACAACTGCCTGCAGCCTTCAGGTCCTAAAAGCATTGGATGTAGCCAAATCAGCCGGGTGGCAGGCCATGCAACACCTGGTTAGCTGTATTTTTAGTGTCTGTTTGTCTTGCAATGGAAACAGTCATTATAAAGACCTAAAGTCTCCTACTAAACTTCCATGATCTTGCAGACTCCAGAGGGAACACAAAGACCACCCCTCCACTGATAAAATCCGTGTCTGACTAAGCCCCACTCCAACAAAAGGAAACAGCCCCCTTACCTTCACCTCATGGACTTCTAGGGCTCCATAATCTTCAGCTGCTTTTTCTCAGATAAGCAATGGTTACAAAACGGCAGCCACCAAACAAACACATCATTTCTTATCTCTCTACTCTTTCTTTTGCATGAGAAAAATCACAAATGCTCATTTTCTTTGAAGTAATTCTGAGAGTATTGGTTGGGCTTTGTGTGCTTAAAGTACCTTAAACCCTGGATGAGAGCAAGTCAAAACGGGCTGCAAACTTTTGACAGTAGAATAAAGAAATGTATCAGTTCAATTCATTTTTTTCCATCTTCTCTATTTATTAGGAGACTTTCTAATAGTTAATAGCATAATTTTTCAATGGTCACATTTCTGGCTCCACTACTGAGAAAGGAACCCAAAGGCTTTTGAAAAACAATCAGTGTTCATCAGAGATTAGCACGGATCTGAGGACATTATTTCTAATCATGCTGCTTCACAGAGGTTTCAAATAATTAAGTTGTTCTTTCACTAAGTTTCTACAGATGAGATTTATCTAACATAATTGTGGACATTCAAACATTAACCTCTCTATGAAGATTCCCTCAACAGCCAAAGCAGGGAATCAGGCACGTCCAGAATGTGACTCAGTTAAAATACACCACTGAGAGGTGTTGCTCTTGACTGACTATAGAGGGAGTTGAAATTTTAAGTTTAGCTTTAGACATAGAAAAACACTTTTACATTAAATAAAATCAATATTGGTTTTAGCAATTTTTATATAGTCATTTCAGAAATGTTTTCGCTGGTACTTGTTTTTTCTTGAAAGAAAACATTGTATCAAATAATCCTGAGGATAAATGCCAAGAACTGTATTGTTTACAAATATATGTATATTAGGCTCTAATTGAGGTAATGGGCAGCGAGGATCACCTGAAATGCAAGGCTGCTGAAAGCATTAGCTAATGCACAAGATACATGGGGGAAACCTGTGATTCTATGAAACAAAAGACACAACAGTCATAATTACACTAGGGCAGAATTTTTGGTTGGGGACATGAAGGAGTAACAGTGGGATCTATTTTTACCATCACTGAACTAAGTGTCTAATTTGGGAGTTTAAACTCTTTCTGCAGTCAAGGAGAAGACTCTGAATTCTCCTGATGGGAGATACCAGTCATTCATCCTGCATCAGTGACTTCACTCTAGGTGCCTGAGATAAGGAGATGGGAATAAATATCTTCATTACACTGGTTTAGGAGCAAGCCCACACACTTGATGTGTAAATGGGAACCTGATGCTGTCCCAGACGTACCCTTTGCAGATCAGAGCTCTCCAGAGGAGGAGCACAGGCAATACTCTAATTCCTTGGGCAGGCTTGCTTACAGGACCAATGCTAAGGTATAGATATATAAATATAAACAACCAACCAACCCCCCCTCCATCAGACCTGAAACAGGGAAACTTGAATTAACTTATATTTCTCATTTTCAAGGTGATATTATGGAAGTGTAGCTACCTCATAGGTTAGTTCAGGTCTTCAGATCTTCGCATCTTTCTGTTATCTTCAGCCCAGAGGGTGAAGGTTAAGCTGAGGATGGAGTCAGGTGTCTCTAGTACTCAGCACCTCCAGACACATTGTTTTCATCATCATCTCTTCAACAGCACTCACTGCCAAAAGCATCAGCCTTATTTTCCTAAGGCGATGGAATTCATTCCTCTGAGGCAGACCACACCAAACCCCTGCTCACTGAAACATATATTTAAAATCTGGTGAAAGCAAAATAGATAAATATATCCCTGAGAGCATCAGAGTTGTAAACAATTGTCTAATGTAAGAAGACGACAGTAAATTTTTAATACAATCTCTATTTGGTCTCAGAGATAGTTAGTGAAATACAGCCCTAAGTCCTCTTATAAATTCAAGGAAATTTTTTGGCTGTTTGTTTGTACATCACAAGGGGAAGAGCAAACAGCAGGGAAAAAAAAAAGCACCAGAATCACATCGTGAGTTGGCTTTTTTTCAATCTTTCATTAATTATGCATCCATTTATAAGACAAATTAACTGAATCTTCACTTATATTTTTAGCATGGCATTTTAATTAGATGAAAATGAGAATAAGTGGGAATAACTAATTAGAAAAAATCAGCATAATGGCAAAGATTCATGAAAAGAAAGGCACAAACATCCAAAGCAGTAAATCTGTTGCTAGATGCTAGCGCCCAGATTAACTGATGTGGAGTGTGTAAAATGACAGCATCAATTAGAAACTTGGACCAAAACAGCTTTTTTGCCATTTGGAAGGAGTAAACAATTAATTCAGAAATTTAAATCAGGAGATATCTTCACCTCTTGAAACACAGAGACTGCAGAGAGAATTTTCAGAGGGCTGTGATCCATCTTCTTGCAACTGCAGCCATTTTCCTGAGGCTGAAAAAATAAAAGGGAGGGGAAAGGGAAGGGGGAGGGGAGAAGGTTCCTTGCGAGGAAGGCAAAGGGAGCCAGCAAAAATGTTTCTCAAAGAAATAAATTAATTTTTGTTGTGTAAGCAGGAAAAATAAATTTTGGTACAAGACAACTGGAAAGAAATGTGGTAAAATAAAAGGCAGGAGGTATAAATCATCCTTGCATTTATTGCCTAATTTTGCCTCTGTCATGGGAAAGAATAACACTCTTGTTGCTTCTAATTGATATTCTGTGTTGGTATACAACACAGTAATTTGGTTGCACTGTTTCATTTGCAATAACAGAGGAAATAAGGGTGATTTTCAAGAAAAACAGATTTCAGTCTCGTTTAGAGAAATGTGAATAACTCGCTAGAAACAAATTCCAAACCTATTTGATTAAATTAAGGTGTGTATTTAACGTATACTTCCTTCCCCAAATCAGCTGCTTCTGCAGCATAACCCTGGTGCTACAGACTGAGGAAAGGCACGAGAAGAGCAAAGATACCCATGGGCACGTGTTAGAAGAGGGAAATGCCTGGCATTGACAGACACCTGCTCAGCAAAGCCTGTGTTATTTTGAAATGAGACCTAGTGAGGGTGTATGGAGAGACCAAGCTGAGAGATGATGGTAAACTACATTATTTAAAACAGAATATTTTTCTGGAAAACGTGATAGATATTTCCATAATGCAAAGCCTGCAATATGGAGAGACATCACATCACCAAGCTGAGAGAGGATGGTTAACTACATTATTTAAAACAGAATGTTTTTCTGGAAAACATGATAGATATTTCCATAATGCAAAGCCTGCAGCAACTGTTGTGAGACAGGGCTTTTTAGTCCACTGCCCCAAGTCACCAAAAAATTTCACCTTGGATTATCCAAGGGATGCAAGGCAAACACATGTTTTGTTTTAAATGTGTTTGAAAGCAATTCATTTTAGTCCCCAGGCAGCAACTGTTGTGGGACAGGGCTTTCTAGTCCACTGCCCCAAGTCACAAAAAAATTTCACCTTGGATTATCCAAGGGATGCAAGGCAAACACATGTTTTGTTTTAAATGGGTTTGAAAGCAATTCATTTTAGTCCCCAGGAAGTCCTGACAAATGAGAACCTCTGAGGACTCACTGACTTCGCTGGGAAAAATGTTCAGCTTCCCAAATATTCCTGGCCTCCTCCAAAGAGTCATTTCCTCAAATGAACGTGGCACATGATCTTACTCAGCTTGAGTCATTTCACAGAATCCCAGACTGGCAGGAGCTGGAAGGGACCTCTGGAGATCATCTAGTCCAACCCCCTGCCAGAGCAGGTCCACCCAGAGCAGGTCCCACAAGAACGTGCCCAGGTGGGTTTGAATGTCTCCAGAGAAGGAGACTCCACCACCTCCCTGGGCAGCCTCTGCCAGGGCTCTGCCACCCTCACAGCAAAGAAGTTC